AAATTTTAATAAAATTTAAAGGAATAAACGAATTACAAGGTCAAAGATTTATAAATTAAATTTTAATGTTTGTGCGATTATTTGCAAATTTATTATTACGATGGTCTAGTCTATTCGATGATATAGTCTATTGACTAATCTATGGACTACCCTATTGAATAGTCTATGAAATAGTCCGTAGACTATTATATTGACTGGCTTATGGATTAGTCTACTGACTTGTCTATTAACTAGTGGATGGTTTAGTATATTGGCTAGTTTGCGGAAAATAAATTAGTATATTGACTGCTCTTTAAACTGGTGTATTGACTAGTCGATGATCTAGTCTATTGACTAATAGATGATCTAGTTTATTGCCTAATCTATAGATTGCTTTTTGAAAAACTGTATGGAATAGTATATGGGCAAGAATATGAACTATTCTATTGATTGTTCTTTAAACTAGTCTATTAACAAGTTGATGGAATAGTCTATTGGCTAGTCTTTTGTCTAAACTATGAACTATTCTATTAACTAGTCGATGATCTAGTCTATTGACTAGTAGATGATCTGATTTATTGCCTAATCTATAGATTATTCTTTGAAATAATTTATAGACAAATCTGTTGTCAAGACTATGAACTATTTTAGATTGTTTTTTAAACAAGTTTATTAACAAATTGCTGGACTAATCTATGGACTATCCTTTTGACTAATCTATTGACTGGTCGAGTGATAATTTAAGATCTTTAAAAGTACTAAAAAAAGTACGATAGTACAGAATTGTTTAAGCCAGATTGGTTTTCATTTAGTGTTCTTTCATAATGAAATGTTTTATTATTTAATTTCAAAAACAAATAAGAGTTCTATATTCGCATATGAGGAATTTTATATACCCTTCACTATGATGTGCGAAAAAAACAGTCAGTACAAAATTTTATTACAAAAAATAAAAAAAATACCAATTGTAAAATTGTACCAGAAAGATAAAAACCAAAAAGTACCAGTAATAGAACGAAAAAGTACTAAAAATCCTTTCCTAAAGATTTGCATTAACATAATGTTTAATTTTATGATTATTGGTTCAATATGTATTATAGAAAATTCAAAAGGTACTTTTTGAAAAAGGAAAAAGTACCAAAAAGTTATCACTTAGTCCGGGCTATACATGCTTCATTTCATGTTTCTAGGTTCAATATTACAGAAAATTCAAAAGTACTTCTTAAAGAACGAAAAAGTCCATTTTATAGATATAAGATTCTTACTGCGGTTTCTAGGTTCAATATTATTGAAAATTCACCCTAAAACCTACTGAACTTTGTATGTTCAAAAATATTTAAAAATTAAGGAAAAATTTATTTTTATGTTATTTTTATAATTTTTAATCCTATTACTTCAACAGCAAAGAATTTAAAATCAAAACTTTTGTAAATTTATGGACAAATTTAATTGCTAATACATATTGTAATGTAACTTTTAATAAATATTAAAAATAAACTGAAACATTCACTCACCTTCCTGTTATTTGTTCCTTGAAATAGGCTTGCTGTAAAATTTAAATAACATTTTTGTAATTTTGACTTTATCATAACAAAAAACACTTTTCATATTTAATAAGGAACTTTATTTTATAGATTTTTACTAATCCACCTTTTATATCTATTATAAACAGGCCATATTGGTGGTATTCCTTTTTTTAAATGCACAAAATTTTTTAAAACATTTTTTAGATGAATTATATTTTTTACATTTATAAAAGGACTTTTATTTAATTATTTTTTGAACTTTTAATCTAACTTGAAACTTTTTAAAACACTTTAACATATTTTATTTACCACTTTATTATATTTAATTTAGACAGGCCATATTTGTGGTAATTTAATTTTTATATATTTTTTTTAAATTTTCACATTTTTTTAAACGCATTGCAACTTTAATTGCTTTAAACACTTTTAATATATTTTTATTTCAACCACACATTAGATTTAATTAAAACGATATTTTATTTAATACGATTTTAAAAATAATTACTAAATTAAATTTTGACTATAATAGCAAATTCGAATGATTTCCTTTAAAAACCCTCTTACATCTTAAAGCACTCATTCAACAAAATCAAAACAAACTAAAAACCAATAAAAAAACTTTTATTCTCTTTAAAACCAACAACAACAACAACCATCTAAGCAACAAGTATAAGATGCGCTGTCATAACAAAATCTGCGCTAACAGTTCTGCCGCATGTGAAAAAATGTAGACTGCGCTGCCGCAAATTTGCAAAATGTTTACACTTTAATAACTTATTTATTTTAACACTTCTCGTAAAAATTTTACTTTTATTTTAAAGCTAGCACTTTTATTAACATTTCTTGCAATTTTCATTAAATTCCGTAACATATTTATGCACTTTTTTACAAATTTTATACGAGCTATTACACGAACCGGCTAAACTTGTTGCAATGTTAAAGAAAACTAAATGACAGTTTGCTAATAAATGGCGGAAAAGGAAAATGACAAGTAGAGTATGATAAAAAGAGATGCCAGATGTGAATTTTGTTTGTGACGTTGAAAAAAAGTTGCCAGTACTATTTTGCAGTTATTGATAAAAATTCGTTATTTTTGAAACATGAATGTTAAAAAAGTTTGATGAAATATGTTTTAAAATGAATTGTCTTTGGTTTAAACTAGAGTTGCCAAAAAAATTATATATTTTCTTAGAAAATTTATAAGTTTTAAAAAAATTTAAAGAAATAAAAAAACATTACAAGTCTAAAGTTAATAAATGAAATTATAAATGGGAATTTTGTTTTATAAAATTAAAATTTGATTATAAAAATGGGTGTAAAAAATTAATACATATTTGTTTGTTCAATTATTTGCAAAATAAAACTATACTGCGAATAAAATAGTCGATGATTAGTTTATTGGCTAAGATACCTATTAGTCTGTGAACTAACCTGTAGAAGTATATTGACTGGTTTATGGACTAGTCTAATAACTTTAGTCGATGGTTTAGATTATTGACTAGTATGTGGAGAATAAATTAGGATCAAGTCTATTGACTAGTCGATGGTCTAGTCTATGGACTAGTAGATGATCTAGTCTACTGCCTAATCTATAGATTGCTTTTTGAAAAAAAATTATGGACTAGCCTATGGACAAGACTATGAACTATTCTATTGATTGTTCTTTAAACAATTTGTTGGACTAGTCTATTTGATAATCTCTTGGCTAATCTGTTGTCGATATTTCAGTCTATTGACTATTTTGTGGACAATAAATTAGTCAGTTGACTGCTCTTTGAACTAGTCAATGGTCTAGTTTGTTGACTAGTATATGATCTGGTTTATTGCCTAATATATAGATTTTCTTTGTAATAATCGATGGGCTGGTCTATTGACTAGTCTATGAACAAGTCTGTTGTCAAGACTATAAACTATTCTATTGATTGTTCTTTAAACTAGTCTATTAACAAGTTGATGGAATAGTCTGTCGAATAGTCTATTGGCTACAGACTATTAACTAGTCTATTACTATTAACTAGTCTAGACTGTTAATTGAACTATAATAACTTTATTAGAAAAAAGTACGTCAGTCTGTCAGTTGGCTCTTTCGAAATTAAATAATTAATTCAAAAATAACGTCTTCAATTATTTCTCATAACACAAAACACTGACTTAACTCTAACCAGTTAAAGAGAACAAAAACCTTTTTTTTACTCTCTTTTTACCAACCAAACTATTCATCTCTTAGCTTAACGAATCCCACTTAAGCTGCGCTGTCACAATAAGACAACTAACAACTGCTCTGCCCGCAAGTGAAAAAATGTATGCTGCGCTGTCGCAAAATTGCTAAAATTTTTGCACTTAATTTTTTCATTTATTTTTACACTTTTTATTAAGATTTTACTTTTATTTTGAAGCTAACACGTTTCTTAACACTTTTCCAACAAATTTATTTTATTTTTTATATTATTTGCACTATTTTTTATTAAATTAATACGAACGCGTTCACGAACCGTCTTAACTTGTTGCAATATAAAAGAAAACTATGCAAGTGTCATTGCTAAATGGCGGAAAAGGAAAAAAATGACAGTTTTGATGTTAGTGTTGCCAGTTGAGCAATAAATAATGCTGCCAGATAGTTAGAGTTTAGAGAGTTGCCAATCACATTAGGCACTAATTAAACTGATTTAATTTAAAAATACGTATTTGAATAATAAATAATAAAATTATGAGGGGAAAGTATAAAATTATAATATTATTATTATAAATACAAAGTGATTTATGTTAAAAAAATATTCCTTTTAACTAAAAACTTAATATTTAATTGAAGTTTTTAAATTTGTATATAAAACTTATTAATGTAAATTAGTATTTATTCATCCATCCAAAATGTTTAAAATTTATTGCTTTATAAAAAAATATTATAAATATTCATAAGTAAATCTAATAATTAAATTAACAATATTATTAAAATTACTGTATTGTCTTTTCAGTTCAATTTATTAAACGCCAATAGTGAAATTTCAGCGGCCTCTGGTTTAATATTCACATTGTTTTTACATTTTATTGTCAGCATACTATCGGTGTATCGTTGTGCCTTGCAAATGTGTTCAAGGTAAGTGAGAATATTTTTTAATAAAATAGCAATTAAACAAAAACCTTTTAAAATATTGCAAATAATTAACATGCGTTTGCTAATTTAAGGTCATTATATAATATGAAAAAATATGCAAAACATTAATATTTAAAGGTTAAAAATGAGTCATAAACATTTAGATACATGATTTCTATTAAATAAATTTCAATTTACACTCTCTCAACGGTTTTTACATATTAAAAACAATTGGCAATACTAAAAACAAACAATATATTCATACAACTCTGTTATGATTCACTGTGTTTACACAATGTTATTGTGTAAATTCGCTTTCCAAGAGCGAAACTGAGGTAAACACAACACTGGCTCTCTTAAAATAATGACAACTAACAATTAATTGAAGTATTTTTTTAGTCATAATTTGACAATTAAAAAGTGAACAATAAGTGAAGAAAAAATACGAAAAAATTGCAAATTCTTATAAAGAAAATTTATATTATATTAGAAAAAGCTACAAATTAAAGAAATAAAATCGGAAAAAGTCTAATAAGCGAAAAATAAATGTTATTTAACATGTTTAAACCATAAAGCAAAATGCAAATATTGTAATTAGAAAGTGCTGTGTGGTGAAAGAAAGAAAAAAAAAGAGGAAATTTGTTGTGTGTTTTGTATGAAGGCCAAGCGCCTACGCCTTCTGGAGGTCATTAATATTGTGTGTTTCTTTACATTGAGCATAATAAAATAACTTAGTGTTTGCGTTTAATTATTTCTAATTGTTATTTTCACATATTCGCTTGGAAGTTAGCTCAATATTTTTGCCATCACGTTAGCTTCGCAGTTTACATTTAACGCCACCATGCCGTTGGCAGATCTTCATAAAGATCTAAGACAACAGCAACAATTGGGCGTTACAACGGCTGCCATACCCAGCTCATTGTCCTCCTCGAATGCGGCTTCCAATCTCAGTGATCATGTGGGTATATCCCGTATGCAAATCACCTCTTCCGGTTGCAGTAGTCTGGCGGTAACCCCCATGGAACATACACCCACAGATGAGGAAAGTGGGGGTGTAACAACAGTGACGTCATGTCAAAGACGTCAACTGCAACAACAGCAACAGAACCTACAACCTTCACAGCTGCAGGCAGCATTAGGTAAACATCAACATCATCATCATCAACAACAGCAACAGGGGGTAGTCGCTGGTAGTACTTCAACTACTGCAACGACGTTACAAAATAATTTACCACATTCCAACAATGATTTAATGGATTTAAGTGATTCTGAATGTTATACTCAATCCACTGGAGGTCAAGGTGGCCCCAACAACATTGATTGTGGGGAAAATGAATTTGAATTGCGCGAGGTCATAAAAGAGGGCCATGAAAAAGCCGACCCCTCACAATTTGAACTTTTGCGTGTTTTGGGCGAAGGCTCGTTTGGCAAAGTGTTTTTGGTGCGCAAAATTGTGGGTAAAGATGCGGGCACTCTGTATGCCATGAAAGTGTTGAAGAAAGCTACCTTGAAAATCAAGGATAGAGTAAGAAGTACAAATGAACGCAAGATTTTGGCCGATGTCGGACACGCCTTCATAGTAAAATTACATTATGCCTTTCAAACGCCCGGAAAATTGTATTTAATATTGGACTTTTTAAGGGGAGGTGACTTGTTTACCCGCCTCTCCAAGGAAGTCATGTTTACCGAAGAAGATGTTAAATTTTATTTGGCAGAATTGGCTTTGGCTTTAAATCACCTGCATTCTTTGGGCATAATATATCGTGATCTGAAGCCGGAGAATATTCTCCTAGACGAAAATGGTCATATAGCTTTGACCGACTTTGGTTTGTCGAAGCAGCCTTTAGATGGTTCTAAAACTTATAGTTTTTGTGGCACAGTAGAATACATGGCTCCCGAAATTGTCAATAGAAAGGGTCATGATTTTGCCGCCGACTGGTGGTCTTTTGGTGTTCTAATGTATGAAATGTTAACTGGAAATTTGCCTTTTCATGGCCAGTCTAGACAGGAAACCATGAATCAAATATTAAGATCTAAATTAGGCATGCCGGAGAATCTGTCACCTGAGGCTCAGGCACTTTTAAGAGCATTATTTAAAAGAAATCCTCAAAATCGTTTGGGAGCAGGAGCAAATGGTATTATGGATATAAAAGCTCACTGCTTCTTTGCCACTATTGATTGGTCCCGCTTAGAAAAGAAGGAAGTAAGACCTCCCTTTATACCAGCCGTTTCTCGAGATGATGCTTTCTATTTTGATGTGGAATATACTTCAAAATCTCCAAGGGATTCTCCAGGAGGACCCATTTCTGCCTCGGCCCATGAAATATTTAGAGGTTTTTCTTTTGTTGCTCCCGTGCTATTGGAACAAAGTTTAAGCAACCATTCCTCATTACCTCAGTCCCCTTATTTACCCAGCCAACAGGCACCACGCTCTCTACCCGGCGTTTTACCCGGCAATTTTCATCAAGATTACAATTTACTGCAAGAGTTAGGTCGAGGCACTTTCTCCGTTTGCCGCCTTTGCGAACACAAATCATCGAAAAAACATTTTGCTGTTAAAATCATAGAAAAGGCTGCCTATATGGCTAATTCTTCCTCATCCGATTGCTGGGAGGAAGTAGAAATCATGTTGCGTTATGGCAATCATCCAAATATTGTTACTTTGTTTTCGGTGTATGAAGATGCTCTTTCCGCCTATTTGGTTATGGAACTCTTAAAAGGTGGCGAATTGTTGGATCGCATTTTGGCTGTTGGCCAAATGTGTGAAAGTGAGGCTAGTGCGGTTTTAAGGACTATGGTTTCAGCGGTAGCCTATCTGCACGAACATGGTGTAGTGCATCGTGATTTGAAACCATCAAATATGATTTATGCCAGTATGCGACAGACACCAGAGACTTTGAAACTTTGTGATTTAGGTAAGTGGCAAATAAAATTGTTTTTGTTTGGAATTAAAGTACCTCTTGACAAGGACGGAACAAATACATAGCTCGAATAGTTTTGGAAATAAAAATTATTTTTTTAGGAAATTTCGATAACTTTTCTCTTTTAGAGAAAATGTTCGATAAATTTTCTTTTTTTAATATTTTTGAGAAATTATATTTTTATAGAAAATTTTCGATAAAATTTATTTTTATAGAAGAATTTCTTTTCAATAAATTTTGAAAATTTTCGATAAATTTTGCTTTTATAGAAAATTTTCGATAAATTTTGCTTTTATAGAAAATTTTCGAAAATTTTGCTTTTATAGAAAATTTTCGATAAATTTTGCTTTTATAGAAAATTTTCGATAAATTTTGCTTTTATAGAAAATTTTCGATAAATTTTGCTTTTATAGAAAATTTTCTATAAATTTTGCTTTTATAGAAAATTTTCGATAAATTTTGCTTTTATAGAAAATTTTCGATAAATTTTGCTTTTATAGAAAATTTTCGATAAATTTTGCTTTTATAGAAAATTTTCGGTAAATTTTGCTTTTATATAAAAGTTTCGGTAAATTTTGCTTTTATAGAAAATTTTCGATAAATTTTGCTTTTATAGAAAATTTTCGATAAATTTTGTTTTTATAAAAAATTTTCGATAAATTTTGTTATTATAGAAAATTTTCGATAAATTTTGTTATTATAGAAAATTTTTGATAAATTTTGTTATTATAGAAAATTTTTGATAAATTTTGTTATTATAGAAAATTTTTGATAAATTTTGTTATTATAGAAAATGTTCGATAAATTTTGTTATTATAGAAAATGTTCGATAAATTTTGCTTTTATAGAAAATTTTCGATAAATTTTGTTTTTATAAAAAATTTTCGATAAATTTTGTTTTTATAGAAAATTTTCGATAAATTTTGTTTTTATAGAAAATTTTCGATAAATTTTGTTATTATAGAAAATTTTCGATAAATTTTGTTATTATAGAAAATTTTTATAAATTTTGTTATTATAGAAAATTTTCGATAAATTTAGTTATTATAGAAAATGTTCGATAAATTTTGTTATTATAGAAAATTTTCAATAAATTTTGTTATTATAGAAAATTTTCGATAAATTTTGTTTTATAGAAAATTTTCGATAAATTTTGTTATTATAGGAAATGTTCGATAAATTATCTCTTTTAAAAAAATGTTGATAAAGTCTCTTCTTTTTAGAGAAATTTTTGATAAATTCTCTTTTATACAAAAGTTTGATTTTGTAGAAAATTTTTGAGAAGTTTTCTTTGTATAGAAAAATCGATGAATTATCATATTATAACAATTTTTATCTTTTTATAAAATACAAAATTTTTATATTTTTTCTTTTCACTTCTTTTTCATTCTTTCTAAACGATTCATATATAAAAAAGTAGAAGTAATGAAAAACATCATTAAAAAAAGTACTTTTCCTAAACATTTTATGAAGACATTGCGGAATTGTTTTTTTAAGATGTTAGTTTGTTAATAAGATTCCTTATTAAAAGGTACTTTGCAAAAAGACCAACAATGTTGCAAGAATCATATAAAACATGTATTACAATAAAACAATTTTTAATATAAATAAAAATTTTCTTCATGTCCTTATGCTTTATATAACATTTAGCAAATCACCTTCTCAACATAATTTTCTTTACATCATAATTCCCTCAATTTGCCAAAATTCTACTTTAGCTAAAAGTATCTTATATCTTTAACAGAAAGAAAAGTAATACACCCAACAATTCCTTCTTATGTAAATTTTCCCTCTTCTTAGAAAAAATACCGTCATTCTCATTATAACAATATCAAAGTTCATTCACCAGCAGCTAACACAGGATGAAATATTAAGTAGCTCAGACTTGTTGAGCAAGACGAAAAATAAATGTTTTAGCAAAATTCCCAAAAAAAAACGTCAAAAAAAAAAACGAAAATCAATAAATTACGCAAATAATCTACTTTTTGTAAATATAAACGTTGCTGGGTGAGGATATAACACACACAATTTCATTAAAAATACTTTTTTTTACCTATTAAAATTTATTCCTCTTTCTTTTTTTCGTAAGCAAACTCATTAATATTTTACTTTTACTCTTCAATACATGAAGAAGAAAAATGCTTTAAGCCGGTCGTTTTGTTTGGTCATGACAACATATGTCGTTTCCTTAGCTGCTCTTTTACACTCTGCTGTGTTTCTTGTGTTCCAAAATATAAGAAAAAATGTACTCATCATTCCCGTAAACAATAACACAATTTTAAACCACATGTTGTTAAATAAATATTCTATAAAATATTTTTTAAATCACAAACAATAACATTCTGTTTCATATTACAACCCACACACCGCAATGTCAGTCAGTTAGTCAGCCAGCCAGTCAGTCATACTTGTTCCTTCTTGTTAACATACACTTCCATACACTCAATTACTTACATTAAAAACAGAAGAAAGTATAAAAAATGAGCTTCTAAAATTAGAACCACCCCTAGTGGTTGCAGTAGTTAGTCGACTGTTGCTGCTGCTCCCGCATTCGTTACTACTACTATTAGCAAGCTCTACAATCAACATTTTGTTAGTTGTCTTATGGCATTTACGCACGCATTCCCATCCCCTTGTTTGCATTTTTATTTTTATATCCACAGACTCACATCAAACAAAGAAATCAGATAAATATAACAAAAGTCAATTAAAATGACGGAATAAAATTAGATTTGTTTAATGAAAATGTTGTGTTTTGTTTGCTTGTTTGTTTTAGTTTTTTTATAATTTTTTTTTTTTTTTTCAACTTCTGTTTGTCCTTCTGTGAGTGGGTTGGTTCAAAAGTTCAATGATTTTATAGGTTTGTTATAATGTATTCAATGTTTGCCCACATTTTTATTTACATAAGCAGATTAAATACCAACCTTTTCATCGGTATCCCAAAGTTTTCGATAAATCCTCTTTTTGTAGAAAATTTATGATAAATTTCATTTTTATAGAAAATTAAAAAAAAAAAATTTATAGAAAATTTTCGATAAATTTTCTTTTTATAGAAAATTTTCGATAAATTTTCTTTTTATAGAAAATTTTCGATAAATTCTCTTGTTATAGAAAATTTTCGATAAATTCTCTTGTTATAGAAAATTTTCGATAAATTCTCTTGTTATAGAAATTTTTCGATAAATTCTCTTGTTATAGAAATTTTTCGATAAATTTTCTTTTTATAGAAATTTTTCGATAAATTTTCTTGTTATAAAAATTTTTCGAAAAATTTTCTTTTTATAGAAATTTTTCGATAAATTTTCTTTTTATAGAAATTTTTCGATAAATTTTCTTTTTATAGAAATTTTTCGATAAATTTTCTTTTTATAGAAATTTTTCGACAAATTTTCTTTTAATTTTCTTTTTATAAAAAATTTTCGATAAATTCTCTTGTTATAAAAGATTTTCGATAAATTATCTTTTTATAGAAAAATTTCGATAAATTCTCTTTATATAGAAAATTTTCGATAAATTCTCTTTATATAGAAAATTTTCGATAAATTCTCTTTATATGGAAAATTTATAAACTCTCTTGTTATAGAAAATTTTCGATAAATTATCTTTTTATAGAAAATTTTCGATAAATTCTCTTTATATAGAAAATTTTTGATAAATTCTCTTTATATAGAAAATTTTCGATAAATTCTCTTTATATAGAAAATTATCGATAAATTCTATTTTTTTATAGACAATTTTCGATAATTCTGTTTTTTATAGACAATTTTCGATAATTCTGTTTTTATAGAAAATTTTCGATTAATTCTGTTTTTATAGAAATTTTTCGATAAATTCTCTTTTTATAGAAATTTTTCAATAAATTCTCTTTTTATAGAAAATTTTCGATAAATTTTTTTAATTCTTTTTTTATAGAACATTTTTGATAATTCTCATTTTAAAGAAAATTTTCCATAAATTCTCTTTTTATAGAAAAATTTTCGATAAATTCTATTTCTTTATAGAAAGTATTCGATAAATTCTCATTTTATAGAAGATTTTCTATAAATTCTTTTATTGTAGAACATTTTTTATAAATCCTCTTTTTATAGAAAATGTTTGTTTAAAATTAAAAAAAGAAAATTTTCTTTTCCAATAAATTCTCAGACATACAGTTGACAATTATCCTCTGACGATATCTGATCATTATAACAATTCCGAATTCTTTATAACACTTAACAACCTTTAATACTCAACATCCCCTCCCCTCTAGGTTTTGCAAAACAATTACGTGCCGATAATGGTCTACTTATGACACCCTGTTATACAGCGAATTTTGTAGCTCCTGAAGTATTAAAACGACAAGGCTATGATTTGGCCTGTGATATATGGTCATTAGGTGTTCTACTCTATATAATGCTATCGGGACGGACACCCTTTGCATCGACACCTAATGATTCACCCGATGTGATATTAAAACGAATAGGATCTGGACATATAGATTTTACCTCGACACGATGGACGCTTGTTTCGCATCCCGTCAAAGATTTACTAAGACAAATGCTGCACATTGTGCCGGAAAATCGTCCGACAGCAGCACAAATACTACAACACCCCTGGCTAAAAGAACAATCAGCTGGTTCTGTGCGTTTAACAGAATATTGTGCTCCTAGCAGTATTACGCCTACAAATATGTCATTATCAAATCAAGCTACTGCTACTGTTCCAGGTATTTCCTCTAATTTTACGAATAATGCCAATATGGTGAGAGAAGCGAATGCTAATTTACGTGGTGCTGTGGATGCCACTTTCAGAGCCATTGCCATACCGCAGGCGGCCAATGTGGGGCCTGTCGAACAATCAACATTGGCCAAACGACGTGCCAAAGATCGTGCCAATTTACAAACGTAATCGAAAGCTTCTCTTAGATGGCCAGCATTTTTAATACGTTTTAAATTGAAATTTTTAAGATAATTATGAGATATGAGAAAAGTGAACAAAACTAAATTCCTTCTAAAGAAAAGTAAAGCTTTACTAATTGAAAACAAAACAAAAATTAAACTCAACAAAAAAGGTAAATTTTTTGCTAAACACGAGTTGTGAAACACTGGCTTACTTTTTTTTCTAACTTTACAAAAATTAAGCACAACTTTTTACTTAGAAAACAAAAATGAAAATTAAAAAAACAGAACAAACACTATTTTGAAACTTCTTAAATTTTGATATAAGAAGTTATTATATATAATAATCAATCTTCCATTTATAGTAAACAAGTTAATTATTTATTTTATAATTAAAAAAGGCAAGAAAATAAGAAATTATTAACACAAACTTTTTATTTATATATTTTTTTTGTATAAAAACAAAATATAGATAATATTCTTTATAGTAGTTACAATAGTTAAAATTTTGTATTATAATTTTAATAAAAATAATTAAATAGCTTAATTTTTTCCTTAAAAAAAAAGAATGACAAAATGTTGGAAAACAAGAGATATTTGTTAATAAAAAGCTGTTGTTTTAGTCATGTGTCTTTTACAGGATCAAAACTGATATTCGAATTTATAATTTTCAATAACTATTGTTTCATTTTGTTTTTTAATACCAATATATTATGAGATTTTATTTTAAGTAAGTTGATTTTTTGTGACTTTTATAAAAAAGTTTTAAAGTAAAAGATTTCACTACGTTTAAAGGTTAAAAATTTAAAATAGAATTCTAAATACTTGCTAAGAAGATCGAACTAAATTTCCTCCAATTACATTGATACAGTTTAAAATTATTCGTTTGTGATTTGTTTGGACAATATAAGCTTTAAACGCTGATATCTTCATTTAAACATTCCAGTTATTTCTAGGTGGTATATTCAACCGAAATGATTTTTTTCTTTTTTTGGGTTCCGGACTTTAATATTTTGGCTACTTCTAGTTCGCTATTTGTTTGCATTTATTTTGGAATTGCATCTATAAATTCATTAAAAATTCGTCAACAAATCCTTTAGATGTTAGTAAGATTAAGCTGATATCTCGTAAAATTTTTATCCAAAATCAGGCAGAAGTTCCTTGAAGTGTTAATTACTGGCATTTATTTTGGTGAAATTGGCTTCTTTAGAAGATCGTCTGATAGCTTATCGTAAGATAAAGTTGTTATCTCTTACATCACTTTCCAATTTAATATCATGCAAAAGTTTTTTTAGAGTTCTTCAGAAAGGCGTCACTAGTTTATCATTAAATAAAACTAATAGCTCGAGAAATAATGATAATCTATTACTTTTCAATTCCTAATCACACATAGTTTTTTAAGTGTTCTATTTTTAAATTAAATCCATTTTGAATGCAAAGTAATTGCAGGATTGATACTCCGAATTTCAACTTATGGCCAAAGGACCAAAAATATTGAGGGACATTTTAAACATTTACTATTTATTGATTTAATTCATCTGTGAAACGGATTTGTAGGAACAATAATATTGGAGACAATATTAAACAATGCACTAATTATTGTTATACTTTTTTGCATCTGCATTTGCTGGTTCGTATCTGATTCGAAAGACCACAAATATTAAGGGGAAAGTTTTAACAAGTTCAACTGCTTCTGGTATCTGTAATCATCGATTCATATCCAATTCGAAGGACCAAACATATAGAGGAGAGTTTTTAACTATTAACTACTTTTGATATAATTCGTTTCATATACTATTTGAACGTTCAACAATTTTAACGATTTACTTTTCATTGTCATATTTCCCTGAATCTGTTCGTCACCCAACCGAATATCAATAATTTAATATTTAATGAGTAGTATATTGCAACTGCTGATTGAGTGTTTCAAATATACTAAGTTCAGACGTTTTAATTTGCCCATTTTACACATTCTTTACCGGTTCGAAGGACCAAAGGTATTGAGATAATAAGTTGCTATAACTGTCAAATTTCTTGACTCTTTTGGAACATTTGCTTCATTTTCTTAAAGCTACAACAATTTTTGGGCCTATTTTTTTGGAGACATTTTAAAACCCACAGCGAAATAGGAAAGTAAAGAGAAAAGCACGAACTTAATATAAACTAATCCCCGTTATCTCCACCTCCGGTTAACGTTTAACTTATTCTGCCGGTTAAAATATTTTTTTAATGAAAACTGTCAATCTAACCTTACAATAATACATTGAGATTATAGAGTTAAATATCTAAATGTCATCATCATTCAATTCATCATAAAATGAAAACACTGTAACCCACTGTAACTTGAAGATTAATTAAAATGAAGACACAAAAGAAAATATAACTTATTTCAGGATTGACTTATATTAAAGATATTTCAAAATATCTATTTTAATATTACAAAGTTTATTTTAGATCATTAAAAAGTATTCATATTTTTCAAAATATATTTTTAGATTAAGTAATCTGATAAATTGGCCTTTGATCTAAGAGTTAAAAACTGACACTTTTGTAATAAAAGTAATTTGATCATAAACCGATAAAGAATAATTATTCGATTCAGATTAGAAATATTTTTAAATTACTTTACAAAGACCAGAGATACTCAAAAAGTTTATTTATATTTATATCAACATTCTGCCCAAACATTTACTGATCTTCTTAGAGAGAATTTACTGTATTTTCTGAATGTTTTTGTTAAAATAAAATTTTAAATCATTAAATTGATTTCACAAAAAACATCATTTTTTCAGTTGCTTCAAAAACATATTGCATTTTATTACAAATTATCATGAAGTAATTTTTAATCAATATTTTTTTAAATAAAAAAAAAATCAGCTTACACTCCTACATATAACAAAAAACCTACTTCCTGTTAACTCCGAATAAAATACAATAAATAATTGAAACCCTATGACCTGTTAAACCTTTTAACCTTTAAAATAAGGAAAAAATCCATATTTTTGAAAAAGAATATTAGGTAATATTGAAAAATTACATAAATATATAATAAACTTGTTTAAAAAATAAAATCTAGTTAATTAATTAAAACCTAATATAAAAAAAAAATAAAATAAATTGTTAATTATTGCTGACACAGTTTTTAAAATCATTGATTATAAACATAAACAAATAAATATTGAAATTATATAATAATATTAATAATATATTATATACTATACATATATTAAACAAACTAAAATAACTAATAATTTTATATACACTTACATATATTATTATAACTAAAACAAAAGTATTTACTCTACAATCTATTTAACTCTAAACTAATAACAAATTTTAAGAAATAAATTATTTTCTTATTAACAAAACAAAAACTTGCTTTTTTCTATGTCCAGTATTTTTTCTAACGTCTATTTCTCCCCCCCACAAACTGCATACGATGTTAAAAACGAAGCAGCTACTTTAACTTTAAAGATTTGTTTACAAATTTTTTTATATATAAATAAATATACTATTAAAAAAGAAAAAAGAAATTAAATAATTGTAATTTGCTTACATTTAAATGGTTAACATAAATAAAGAGTTGCTCTTTATAGACATAAATTAAACTAATTATTAAATAAATAAATTAATAATTATTACTTAAAATATATATATACATATAAACATATATTTACATATTTTTCGATAAAAAAAAAGAGTATTAAATGTCTGTATGTGTTTTTCTAACAATTCGAAATATTTATTATTCGAAAATTTAATAAAAATAAAAAAAATTATAAAAATAAAAAATTTTATTCAAGTTTTCCTAAGTAAGAATATTTTTCAATATTGTTTTGTTTTTTTTTAATTTTTTTGCTTTTAGTTAAGACATTTAAACGTATTATTAAATATTTAAAAGAACAAAATAATAAAAAAGTTTCATTAAAAGAAAATATGTAATAATTTTAAAACAAATTAAGTATTGTATATTTAAATAAAACCAAATATTATTAAAAAAACAAAATCATTAAAAAAATGAAATTTAATTTCAAACGTGTTTTATTATTTTTTCATCGGGAGAATGAATAAAATGAAATCGTTAAAAATAATTACTTTGGTTTTTATAGTTAAGTATATAGTCGGGACTTTCTGCAGTACAATTATTATCTGAACCAATATCTAGTCCATAATCTGAACTTGTATAGTATATCGTCTAGACTATATTTTAACTCTAGACTTGATTATAGACACTAATCTGGATTAAAGGCTTGACTATAGTTTAGCGTCTATTCCATAGTCTTATCTATAGTCTTTTCAATAGTCTTGTCTGTAGCCTGGAATATAGTTTTGTCTATAGTTTGCACTATGCTATAATCCGAATTATAGTTTTGTATATAGTATTCACTATAGTCTAATCTGTCTGGACCATTGTCGAGTCTATAGTCTGGACTATAGTCTAGTCTATTCTATAGTCTGCACTATAGTATAGTCTATAGTCTGGACAATGGTCTATTGTCTAGTCTGGTCTATAGTATTATATACTCTGGACTATAGTCTATAGTATTGTATACTCTGGATTGTAATCTATAGTCCGGACTATAGTCTAGTCTATGGTCTGGACTATAGTCTAGTCTATATTCTGGACTATAGTCTAGTCCATAGTCTGGACTATAGTCTAGTCTATATTCTGGACTATAGTCTAGTCTATATTCTGGACTATAGTCTATTCTATAGTCTGGACTATAGTCTAGTCTATAGTCCGAATTATAGTCTATTCTATAGTGTGGACTATAGTCTATTTTATAGTCTGGACTATAGTCTAGTCTATAGTCTGGACTATAGTTTAGTCTATTTTCTGAATAGGTTAGTCTATAGTCTGAACAATAGTCTAGTCTATGGTCTGGACTATAGTCTAGTATATATTCTGGACTATAGTCTAGTCCATAGTCTGGACTATAGTCTAGTCTATATTCTGGACTATAGTCTAGTCTATAGGCTGGACTATAGTCTAGTCTATAGGCTGGATTATAGTCTATTCTATAGTCTGGACTATAGTATATTCTGTATTCTGGACTATATATATATTTTGGACTATAGACTAGTCTATATTCTGGACTATAGTATATTCTATAGTCTGGACTATAGTCTATTCTATAATCTGGACTATAGTCTAGTCTATAGTCTGGTCAGTCTATAGACTAGTTAATTCTCTGGACTATGGTGTACTTTATTTCCTAGTCTGGCTATAGTCTAGTCTATAGTCTAGTCAGTCTATAGTTATAGTTAGTATAGTATAGTCTATAAGCTGGACTATTGTCAGATCTATAGTGTGGACTATAGTCTATTGACTATAGTCTTGTCTATAGAGTAGTCTATAAGCTGGACTATAGTCTAATCTATTGTGTAGACTATAGTCTAGTCAATAGTCAGAAATGTAAACTAGTCAATGGTTTGGTCGATGGTCTGGAAAGGAAAATAAAAGGAAATTTGTATCGAAAAATTATCAAAACTTAATATACCAAATGACCAGCAAAAATTAATAAAAAAATCACTTTTTAAAATTAATTTATTTTTGATATCCATTATCTAATAAAATGTATTTCAAAAAATGTACAGACATTTGTGTCTGGTGATTAAAATACTACGAAAAAGACTAAATCATGTAGTTTCAATGTTTTTCTTATCAAATAGTATGTATGTCGGTAATAGAATTAAAAACACAAATAAAAATTCCATTAATTTGCAAAATATTTTTGTTAAACAACGGTATATGTCTACACAAAAACATGGAAACACTAATTGGAAGCATTTATTTGTATTAAACGAAAGAAAATAAAAATACAGGAAATCATACATTAAGTAAAAGACAAAGAAAAAAAACGTGTGTACAAAAAAAAAAAAACGATAAAGAAATTAGTGCAAAACTACTACAAATAACTTGCCAACAAATACAAATGATAACACCTTTAAAACCCTAAAACCCATAGTTAGCTAACAAGCTGTAAATTATACCAAAAAAAAAAATTAATCATTTTTATTGATTTTTTGTTTTATTTAAAAAATTTTTATTGAATACTATTATATTTGTTTAAAATAAACAAATATTTCTGTATTGTATAATGAATAGCATTTTGTTATCTATTTTGTTACAGTTTTCTGTTTTTGTTTATATTTATTTTTAATTATTTATTTTATTAACTTGCATTTATTGTTTTGTTATTTTTGTTTCAAAGTTTTCTTTCTAATCTTCTAAATTCATTGCAAACGTTTAATTGATTTTGTTTTCTTTGTATGTAATTCTTTTCTATTTAGTTCACTCAACTTATTTTCTGTTTCTTTGTGGTATTTTGTTCTTTATTAATTTTATTTATAAATGATTAATTACAATAATTATTTTATTTTTTAATATAGAACTTATTTTTAAAAAAATAATTTATACAGCATATTTGTTTTAAATTATGAAATATATATGTAAGTGTATTAGGTTTACTCGTTTCGTTTTTAAATAAAATTGCAAGTTTTTTAAATTTAATGTGGCTTTGCTCACTTGTGGTTTATAATATGCAACCAAAGGAATTATTTTTGTATAATTGAGTTTGTTTTTTTTGTAGTGTATGTAAAAAAATGGAAAGTCAAGAAGGCAAAATTTTATAAAATAATTAAAGGTTTTTTTTCAATAATATTTATGTTAATAAATGACTAAAATAAATTTACATACATACATAATTTATGAAAACAATAGAACATTTTATTATTACTTTTTTTATTTTTGCTTATTTTGAATTTGTATTTACTATTTCTTATTAAGCTTTATTTAAAACTATTATTTATTATTTTATTAATTAACGTTTATCTTTACGTTGATTTTTACGTTGCTGTTGCTTTGATTTAGTGGGAGATGTTTTTTCTGGCGATGTATCTGTAGATCAAAAGAGAAAGAAATGTTTTAGTTCAAAGTATATTAACAATTATGAAAAATCTATTCAAAAACATATTTAAAGGAAACAGCTTTTCTCACAAATTTTTTTGATATAACTTGAGAAGAAGCTTTTTCAAAATAAATCCTTTTAAATAAAATTTACTAAAAAGCTTTATTTGCCAGAAAACTTTAATTTAAGAAATTTTATCCATTAGAAGCTTTTCCACTAGAAAAGTTTTATTTAATATTAAAAGTTATTTGCTTTCGAGAACTTTCAGAAATAGTAGAAAAAGGTTTTTCAATAGAAATTTTTTTTCATAAGAAAAAGCTTTTTCAAACGAATTTTTTCACTAGAAAAAGCTTTTCCAATAGCAAAAATTTTAACTTGGAAAAACTTTTCAATAGAAATAAATATTTTACTACTAGAAAACGCCTCTTCAATAAAAAATATTTTCTATTCAAAAAAAGCTTTTTCAAACAAATTTGTAGATAAGTTTTTTCACTATAATAAATTTTTTTCAATATACATATATTTTTTTACTAGAAAAAGCTTTTACTAGTCAAATACCAAAAAAGAATTTTAAAAAGCTTTTTTTGAAGAAAAGCTTTTTCTAGCTTTTTTAAGAAAAGCTTTTTCTAGCTTTTTTAAAAAAAGCTTTTCTAGTTAATATGAAAATTATATTTACTAAAAAATTATATTTGCACTACGTTTTTAAAGGATAAGTTGTCATTACTACAAAAAGCCTCTTTCTCTAGACAAAGCCGTTAAACTAGAATGTTCATATTAGAAACCCTCTTTTTCCCCTTTTTATAAGAATAACTTCTAATTTGAAAAAGATTTTTAATATAAAATCTCTTACTTTTTCAAAAAAGTTTTTTTTTAAGCCTTCTTTTTTAAAAGAAAACATTTTTTAATAATCAATAAAAATGGTATTTTCTCTACAAAAAACTATTCCAATATTTTCTGAATCAACTTTTGGCATTGAAACAGAATTCCCTCCTTATGAAAAGCTTTTTCAGTGGAAAAACTTTAACATAAACGTTTTTTAACTAAAGTTCTTTAACTCACCTTCTTTTTCCAACTCCTTTGGCTCTTTAACAGCTTCGAATTGTTCCAATGTTTTATCTAAATCATCTTCTTCAATTTTTTGCTCTTCAGCACTTTCCAACTTTTCCTTACTCTCTTCCTCAGTCATCACCGATTCACTAAGAATCTCCTTAGTAACCGCCTCCGTACTGACCTCTTTTTCCTCTACTTCTGGTTCGACTACTACATGAGCCATTTCTTGCATACCATTGACTAAAGAATTAATTTGTTCGTGTTGTTGCTGCTGCTGTTCTTCCTCCTTCGCCTCCAATGCTTGCGCTGTCGTTTCACGTTCCAAACGTTCACGATATTCACGTAGACATTTTTGTTCATACTCTACATGTTCCTTATAATACTGATAGACGGGTATAACTATCACGGATATATCATCGACTGTGGCAGCAGCTTTACTATCGGCCAAACGCCAATGACCATAATCGTTAATTTTTCCACGAGCCTTGGCAACTAATTCCTGAGCCACCATTGTGTAACGATGTTTTTCGGTTGGATATTTGTGCAATGTTTGAAAGACCGTGCGGGCAACAGCTTCGTTTTCGGAAACGTCCCAAAGGCCATCGGTGGCCATGACAAGAATGCCATAGTCACCGTCTTCATTGTGTTCATCTACGCAAAAGGAAGGGGAATTATTATAAATTTGTAAAACTATTTTCAATTCGTAAATGTAGAAACTTACCTGGAATGCTTACAATTTTTGTGAGATCTCTGTAATTAACTTCTGGCTGTGCTGTGAGGAATGGTTTTATCAGCGTACCTGTGGCTATGGCCAACAAATCATGATCACCAAAACCACGTGTAACACCTAAAGTACCCAGCAGCCGGGAACGTTTACCCTCACCCGTTACTACAGGCATTTTTAAGTCATCACGCGTTAAAGTCTTATAGGTCCAACCTTTGTTGGTTCCCGTTCGACATAAAATACGTTGACCTAAGTCACGCTCATGTGGCCGTTTGGCATATTCCATGGCAGTATAATATTTACCCATCAAATGAGGTTTATATTGAGCCACACCCAGTAGACGTGTTCTTTCGGTTTCGGGTGTATGATCAAAAGAGAAGGGCTCGGGAAAAGAACCCTCTGAGCCATCAGAGTTTGCGGCATCATGTTGTTTTCCATTTATCACTTTTCTTTGACACAAAACAGCACGACTGTCTCCGGCATTTGAAACATACATTTTACCATTTATGAATAGCGAAACACAGGCCGTACAACCGCCCGCATCACGATAACGATCACGATCTTGGGCTATTAATGAGTCCATATGTATGAAGGCACTTTCTAGTGCTCCTATAATTAGTTCATCTTTTGAAACTGTTCGCTGAAAATGGCTCGGATGAGGAAATGAATTTACAGTTTGTGATTTGTTGAGCCCAGAGTTGGGTATTAAATCTTCCATACCCTCTCGAGGCAACAGTAAATCAATGCAATCGACCAGTTTTTCATGCAATATATGATGAAATTGATGTGAAGCTGCCAAAGCAGCGCCATAACCAGCATGACCATCAAATATACCAAAATATGTATAAGGGAGATCAGGATATTGGTGTGTAGGATCTGATAGAACTTGTCGGCAAAAGGCACCCTGGTCTTCATTCCATTCTGATTTGCCCGAATTAACACACTCTGCATAGCCGGTACCCCAGGGCAGCAGGCCAATGTCTCGCGGTACTATAATGGGCCGGACATTGTGATCGGCCGATGCCTTAAGTTCGTCGGGTGTCAACAACTGTAGGAAAGGAGGACGGGCATAGGCGAATTTATCTTGTAGCTGTTGTTGCTGCAACATGCGCTGATGATAGTGAGAGGAGCCACGCGGTATATGATGATCATGGCTAGAGGGTAAAGCTGGTATATCGGGAGCTATAACTGAAGCTAAACGGCTTTTAAAATTTGCAAACATATTGCTAAAATACTAATAAAATATTATAACTTCTAAGTTTATTGTTTTTGTAGTTTATTTTGTTTACAAAATTCTGCTTCCCCTCTATTTCTTCTTCCTCTGCTAGCGGTCCCACTCACTAATTCTTTATACAACTCAACCACAAATCCAGCATATGACGATAAGTTGGTTTAATATTAGCTGTAAGTTGTAGGAGGGATGAAGGTAATAACGTTTTAATATTTGTTATTGTTGTTGTTCTAGCTCTAATGTTAGTCAGACGTTTAGATTTTTATCTGCTGTTTTTTGTGTTAATTTTTCTTGCTTTTTTTTTCGAAATTTGCAGCCACGTATGTACAATTTTATGGAAATTATTAATGATTTTTAAAATGTTGTTAATTTGTTTTATTATACAACATTTTTTTCTTTTAAATTTTGTTTTATTTTTCTCTGCTAAATAGTTTCTTTGTTGTTTTTTCTTCTACTATTTTTTTGTGGTAAAAAATCAATAATTTTCTTGTTTTAGTTTTTGCCTTACATTCCTTTATTTTGCAGTTAAAATTTATGGTTTTATATTAAAAACAAATGGAATTATTATTTTAAATTAAATTTAGAGTAAATTTTTATTAAATAATTAAGTTTATTTTACATAAAACCGTAAATAATTCTAATAATCTTTACACGTCTATTTTTTTCTTTTCTTATTTTTTCTGTTTATGAAATTCACCCTAATAATGTCAAACGGGTTTTGTTGTTGTCAAATGTCAAATAAGAAACTAGTGTTGCACAGAGCCAAATAAATTTTGAGTGTTGTAAAACATGTTTTGATGCTTGCAGTGTTGAGTTAAATGAAACAGTGAAGGCTAATAAAGAAAAATTTGTTATTTTTAAACATTTTAAATATTTTTATTAATTGAAATTATTAGTTATAGTTTATACATAATAGTTATTATTTTATAAGTAATTGTTTACTAAAATTTATTTAATTTGTTTTCTATTTACAGATCCAAGGCTGCTGAATTGCAGGATATTATTATAAAATCAAATGTCAATGGTTTGTCTCTTCATCCAGATAGTGTCGATCAATATGTCAAGGCCATGTCTATAGCTGGTAGTGAGAAGGTGAGACACGGAAAAATAAAATAAGATGTATTCAATATCACGGATGAAAATTAAATTTAAAAAATTTTAATGAAATTCACTCAGTTTAAAGATATTTTTTGAGCATGTATTTTAAAATTTTCAAAATAATATTCCCGTCAGGGTTACTGAAATCGGGGATTAAACTGTTAATTTAAAATCTTATTCAAATTTGAAAAAACGTTTGCATTTATTAAAAAATCTTTTTTTTAGAACAACAACGAAAAACTGGCTGCTTTATGGATGTATGCATCTCAAAATAATATGATGACACCACAACCGAAAATGGCGCCCAACGGAAGACCTGTTATGCTTATACCAGCCACTGGAAATGTAAGCTATACTTAGACAACTAAACATTAAATACTTTTTTACATACTACTAAAATTCAAATCTTTTTCCCCTCCCCTTACCCTAGTTACCTCCACCACCCACTATGATGATGGGACCACCACCACCACAATCCATGATGGGACCTCCACCACCAATGGCCGCCTATCGTGGCATGACTTTACCCTATATGAGAACCACTTCCATGCCTGTAATATACGCTCCACCACCCGGCAGCATGCCCGGAACTTATCGTACCCATAAAAGTTCAAAATCCAATGATGGACGTAAAAAACGTAAAGCCATGGCTGCAGCTCAAGTCTTACGATCGGGCAAATCAAATGCGGATCGTCGTCAAAGACGTAAATCTGATGCCGATGTAGTAGATGGTAATCCCTCATTTCAGTATCATGGCTTAGATCGTGCTATAGCGGATAATTTTTTGGCACGTCAAGAACAATCACATACCGGTAGTCATTTGGATTATTCCTCATCATCGGGTGCTAGCGATACGTATGGTAATACGGCTCCGTCAAGAGCTTCGTCTAAGACCAAAATTGTTTGTCGTGATGTTGTAATGTAGGAAAGAGAGTTATAAATATTGTTTTAGTATTTAATTTAAAAAAAGAACAAGTTTTCTTTAGTTATTAAGTTGATTAATTAATAATTATTTTTATTATTATCTTTTAATGTATTGTATATAAAAATTGTTTAAACAAAAGAAAACTAATCTATTCAAGATTTATCAAGGATATATATTTTTTATAACCTTTCATATATTACATACTTTTTACGACTACATTCATCTATATAAATATATTTAATTATTATTTTCATTAATATTTAACTAATAATAAAAAACCGATTGTATATTTAAATTAAAATTTTGTTAATATAAATTAATAAAGATGACAAAAAATAAAAATTATTTATAATGTTTTAAATATTAGAAAAGGTAAAATGATAAGTAAGTAGGAAATAATAACAGTTATATGTATTTGTTTCTGAACTAAAATTTAATAGTTTCAAAAAATATGAAAACAAATTTAATTATTTTCTTTTTGTTTTTAAAATTTCAATTTCTTTTCCAAACTGCAATGTTTTAACAAATTAAAACAACTTAATTCATTTCGTTTTAATTTCACCTTTATATGTATAAATCATTTTCCTCTTTAAAATACCTAAACTTAAAAAAATCCCCACATCCCCTTTAAAATTCACCAACACAACTTCCTTTGTACAGCTTCCTTCCCAACACTACACATATTTGAGTACTTTTTAATTGCACAAACCCACTGTGTAAATGCCGCTATTTTTTAGTTTTCATTTGCATTTCATCAAGTTTAGTTCGTTTCGTTCATACGCGTGTGTTTAATAACAAATAACTAATGTTACAAGTTAATAAAATTTAAAATAAGTGATAATAAAACAAATTTAAATAATATTTAACTAAAATATAATAAGAAACTCTTAAATTTTGCAGTAAATAAAGCGTAAAACAAATTTGTCATATTTGCGGCAGCGCAGCCGGCAAGCACTTGCTTTCAATATGTATCAATTTATTTTGTTGATGCTTGTTGTTGGTTTTTTTTTTAATTCGAGAGAGCTTTGACAAGTGTTTTGATTTTTGTAGCCCTCTTTCTCTTGTGATAAATGTAAACAAACCATTTTTTGTTTTTAGTGATTTTCTTGTTTGCTTTTAAGTAGTGTGAGTTTGTTGTTTTTTTACATAAATTTGGAAATACTAAATGTTAAGTTTATCGTATAGAAATTAGTGCAGCCTTTATTAATAAAAAAATATAACAGAACCACATAATTATATCGTTATATCGTTAAAATTTTAAATGAATAAATTAGAATAAACAAATTAATTATGATAAATTAAAAATAAAGTAAATAAAATTAAAAGAGGTAAATTTACCCAAATGATGGCCTTTTCTATAAAAGGTATAGTCTATTCAGTTCTAGTTCAGTTCTAGTTCAGTTCTAGTTCAGTTCTAGTTCAGTTCTAGTACAGTTCTAGTACAGTTCTAGTTCAGTTCTAGTTCAGTTCTAGTTCAGTTCTAGTTCAGTTCTAGTTCAGTTCTAGTTCAGTTCTAGTTCAGTTCTAGTTCAGTTCTAGTTCAGTTCTAGTTCAGTTCTAGTTCAGTTCTAGTTCAGTTCTAGTTCTAGTTCAGTTCTAGTTCAGTTCTAGTTCAGTTCTAGTTCAGTTCTAGTAGTTCAGTTCTAGTTCAGTTCTAGTTCAGTTCTAGTTCAGTTCTAGTTCAGTTCTAGTCAGTTCTAGTTCAGTTCTAGTTCAGTTCTAGTTCAGTTCTAGTTCAGTTCTAGTTCAGTTCTAGTTCAGTTCTAGTTCAGTTCTAGTTCAGTTCTAGTTCAGTTCTAGTTCAGTTCTAGTTCAGTTCTAGTTCAGTTCTAGTTCAGTTCTAGTTCAGTTCTAGTTCAGTTCTAGTTCAGTTCTAGTTCAGTTCTAGTTCAGTTCTAGTTCAGTTCTAGTTCAGTTCTAGTTCAGTTCTAGTTCAGTTCTAGTTCAGTTCTAGTTCAGTTCTAGTTCAGTTCTAGTTCAGTTCTAGTTCAGTTCTAGTTCAGTTCTAGTTCAGTTCTAGTTCAGTTCTAGTTCAGTTCTAGTTCAGTTCTAGTTCAGTTCTAGTTCAGTTCTAGTTCAGTTCTAGTTCAGTTCTAGTTCAGTTCTAGTTCAGTTCTAGTTCAGTTCTAGTTCAGTTCTAGTTCAGTTCTAGTTCAGTTCTAGTTCAGTTCTAGTTCAGTTCTAGTTCAGTTCTAGTTCAGTTCTAGTTCAGTTCTACAGCAGTTTTAGTTCAGTTCCAGTTCAGTTCTAGTTCAGTTCTAGTTCAGTTCCAGTTCAGTTCTAGTTCAGTTCTAGTTCAGTTCTAGTTCAGTTCTAGTTCAGTTCTAGTTCAGTTCTAGTTCAGTTCTAGTTCAGTTCTAGTTCAGTTCTAGTTCAGTTCTAGTTCAGTTCTAGTTCAGTTCTAGTTCAGTTCTAGTTCAGTTCTAGTTCAGTTCTAGTTCAGTTCTAGTTCAGTTCTAGTTCAGTTCTAGTTCAGTTCTAGTTCAGTTCTAGTTCAGTTCTAGTTCAGTTCTAGTTCAGTTCTAGTTCAGTTCTAGTTCAGTCTAGTTCAGTTCTAGTTCAAGTCTGTTCGTTCAGTTCTAGTTCAGTTCTAGTTCAGTTCTAGTTCAGTTCTAGTTCAGTTCTAGTTCAGTTCCTTCTAGTTCAGTTCTAGTTCAGTTCTAGTTCAGTTCTAGTTCAGTTCTAGTTCAGTTCTAGTTCAGTTCTAGTTCAGTTCTAGTTTCAGTTCTAGTTCAGTTCTAGTTCAGTTCTAGTTCAGTTCTAGTTCTTCTAGTTCAGTTCTAAGTTCAGTTCTAGTTCAGTTCTAGTTCAGTGTCTAGTTCAGTTCCTAGGCAGTTCGTAGTCAGTTCTATTCATTCTAGTTCAGTTCTAGTTCAGTTCTAGTTCAGTTCTAGTTCAGTTCTAGTTCAGTTCTAGTTCAGTTTCTAGTTTCCAGTTCTAGTTCACTTCTAGTTCAGTTCAGGTTTTTTAAATTATTGTTTAACAATTTCATAAAATATGAAAGAACACATTTAATTCCATCTTTTACTTTTATGTCTGAACTTTTATTAATCTATTTAAATTTATCTCAATTTCTTCTATGAAATTCACAACATAACTTGAACTAGGACTGAGCTTAAAAAATATACTAAATATTAATTCCTTTTTTTTTTCAAATTTCTTTCCAAAACTGCAATTTTTCATCAAATTGAACGAACTTAATTCATTTGGATTAAATTTCATCTTTATTTATATCAATTTCCTCTTTAAATTAACTAAATTAAGAAATTTCCCCATATGCTCCTTTAAAATTCACCAACCCAACTCCCTTTGTACAGACTCCTTTCCAACACTAAACATATTTGTGTACTTTTTAATTGCACACACCCACTGTGATTTAATGCCGCTATTTTTTAGTTTTCATTTGCATTTCATTCAGTTTAGTTCGTTTTGTTCATACGCGTGTGTTTAATAACAAATAACTAATGTTACAAGTTAATAAAATTTAAAATAAGTGTTAATAAAACAAATTTAAATAATATTTAATTAAAATATAAAAACAAAATGTTAAATTTTGCAGTAAATAAAGCGTAAAACGAATTTGTAACATTTGCGACAGCGCAGCCGACAAACACTTGTTTTCCATATGTATCAATTTATTTTTTAGATATTTGTTGTTGTTTTTTTAATTCGTGAGAGCTTTGACAAGTGTTTGGTTTTTTGTAGCTCTCTTCTCTTGTTTTAAATGTAAACAAATCAATTGTTTTGTTTTTAGTGATTTTCTTTTTTGATTTTAAGTAGTGTGCGTTTGTTGATTTTTTTTAAATAAATTTGGAAATAAATTTATCATTAATGGGGTATATAGATCTTAGTGCGGGCTTTATTAATAAAAATATTTTAAATAAAATATAACAGAACTAATTATATCAAATATCGTCAGGCATTCGTGCATTCATATTTTATTTGGCGGAAACGTGTTCGCGAGCGTTAAAAGTGTGTTAAAAATTTAAATGAATAAAATTTAAATAAAAAATTAATGAAAAATTAAAAAAAAAATAAAATTAAAAGAGGTAAATTTACCCAACTATGGCCTGTTCTATAAAAATTATAGTGTATTGAAAAATTATAGTGTACAATATGTCTTTTAATTAGTGTATTAAAATTAGGGCTAAAAGTTATCTGCCGAATTGAAAAATATACAGTTCACAAGGTATGATGAATTTTATGTTATATATTTATTATTTTCAGCACTTCCTCAAACTCATTTTTATAAAAAAATATATAAAATACCTCTGTTAACTAAAACGTACTGTATGTGTTGTTAGCTTAGTTCTAGTTCAATTCTAGCTGAGTTCTGGTTCAGTTCTAGTTCAGTTCTAGTTCAGTTCCAGTTCAGTTCTAGTTTAGTTCTAGTTTAGTTCTAGTTCAGTTCTAATTTAGTTCTAGTTCAGTTCTAGTTCAGTTCTTGTTCAGTTCTAGTTCAGTTCTAGTTCAGTTCTAGTTCAGTTCTAGTTCAGTTCTAGTTCAGTTCTAGTTCAGCTCTAGTTCAGCTATAGTTCAGTAAGTTTTATTAATCATTATTTTTTTATTAAAAAAGTTAGAAAAATGTAACATAAATTTAATTAAAAATCTTCATCACTATGATTTTCCGGCTTGCTAGCTGTTTTAGGTCTTAATTGCAATTCTCCAGTGATCTTTGAAATACTTATACTATCCATAGAATCCATGCCAACTGGAAATAAACAAAATCAAAAATAATTTTAAAATAATTTAATTAATTACTTAAACTTACAATCATCGTCATCATCATCTCCCATATCATTTAAGTCCCCCATACCCGCTGCTGTACCACTAACCCCAGCTGCAACTCCTGCCACACCATTTGCATTCATTCCCAAAATTTCAGCCATATCTAAATCACTATCTGAACTGCCAAATGAACTATCACCTTCTAGATCTAAACGATCTGCTTTTGTCCTATCATCAACCTTTATAGTAGAGGTACGTCCTCTTCCTGTTGTGGGTCGAATACGTGAGGTGGCTGTTCCCGGCCTTTTCATGTTAGTTGTAGTTCTAGCTTCATCTCGTTTATCATGCATGCCACGTTCTAAACCAAAATTTGTATCCAATTGAGGCTCATCATCCAAATCTTCATCATCGTCGGCTAATAGACCTTCTGGTATAAAAGGCATTGAATTTTCGGCTGGCTTTTGCAATAGAGGTGAGGATATAGGTGTTGATCTCTTAGTACGTGCCTCAAATTGAGCCCTTAAAGCATCTCTTACATGCAAACGTAAAAAATATTGTTGAAATAAATTTTTTAGTTCCTTTTCATGTTCCTCAAACTCTTGCATGTGAGCTGGACGTATTTTCTGTAATGCTTCCAAACGTTGCTTGGTACGTTCCAATTCAGCCTTTTTACGTTGTAATTTTGAATTAAGGGCATTCAGTTCTACTCGAGCATTTTCCAATTGAGCTCTACTCGATTGTAGTTTTACCTGTGAGGAAGCCACTGCATTTTTTAAACTTCTCTCAACAGAAGCCAATTCCATGGGTCGATTAGCTTGTGCTACTCTTGCTTCTTTATTATGCATTTCTTTGAGCAGCAGGTCATGCAGTGTGGCACCGCGTTGTGTTAAATCTGAGGATAATTCTCGTGCCCTCCTTAAATCATCCATTTTATCACCAATATCAACTTGATTAAGACTACGATAATGTTCATCTTCTTCCTGATTATCATCGGTGGTATTGGGTGCTATTAAAAGTCTGGTAATTTTTTGCAATTCCCCTGCTGTTACTGCAGAGGCAGCATACAGCTTGCGTGGATTTAATTTAATGGCAGATTTAGTGACAAAAAATTCAGTAGCGGAACGTATAAGTAGAACACGTTCTTCCTTGGTAGTAATGCCTCCTGGTAAAACAGAACCGGGTTCCAATAAGCCAGCCAACCATTGTAGAACTTCAGCCACAATATAAAAAGAAGCCAAACAGCCAAAATTGTTGGACAAGGCCTGAAGAGGAAATGTGTGTGGATAACCCAATAATTTTAAATGTTCAGCTAGATCTTTGTAAAGGAATCGATTTTATTTTAATTAATATAATTTAAAATTTAATTTTTTTACCTCTGACTTCCTTAAAGGACATTTTGACTAGTTGTGCTAAAGAGTTTAAAATTTTTAAATATCAAATTTGGTTTGTTGTGGTTTTTAGAATTTTTATACTTTTGTATACCTTTGGCCACGTTGCTAGGAAACCACTACTTTCCCTTAATGTTTAGCTTATGAAAAGGGGTGACAAAATGGTATGTGTTTGTGTGGCAATTGTATGCTTCTTAATTTGTGTGTTAAAATTTTATTTATTTAATTTTTAATGTCTTTTAAAGAAGTCTAATTGTAAGATTTCTTATTAGATTTCGGTGCTGCAGGTATTTCCTTAGAAAATCATTTTTCTACTACTACTACTACTGAAACAAATGATTAAGATAATTCCTAGCAACAGGTGGTAGTTCTATGACAACAACAATTGTGCACATAATAATATTATATAGACAAGAAGTGTTGCCACAGTTTTTGTTTTTAATAATTTTACAAGTTTAAACCCATATTTTAGAAAGAAATTCTTTTTGGCTTCAAATAATAGTTAATAGTTAAATAGTAACGGAGTTGGTTAGGCCAATCGTTTGAGGTTTGATTGAAATTAAGCTTACGAAGCCCTTATACGGAGTATGTCGAATATATAAGAAGTACTTTAGTTAATTATCCGATAGGCGCTTTTTTGAGGTCGATAGTACATTTCATAACCTGACATTTATTAGTCTTGATCTTCATAGCTTTCGTCGACAGCGTTACTGTACAGGTTTATGGTTTTACTGCTTATGATTGTACGAAATCAGCTTTTGTTCTGACATCATCTTTAATAGTACAGGTAAGTCGTCTTTCTGTTGTGGGTCGAATACTAGAAGTGTTTGTGGGAAATGGGTTTTAAACCAAAATAGTATGCATCATCCAAATCTTTATCGACTGTGTTTTTTGAAACAGAGTTGAGGACATGGTTTTTGATTTCTAAACGCATTCAACCAATTATTTTTCAAAGGATCTCTTACGTGTACGGAAAGCTAGAAGTTTTACGAGTTCTGCTGCTTGGAATCTAGGAGGCCGATTCTATAAGTCCGTGATTTCTTGAATTTCTCACATTATTAACTATTGATTAACTACTGTAGTTGTAAAAGCACGAATGATGTCGGAAATTCTGTACGATTGGTTCAGGTCTCTACACTCTAAACAATTGATATGATGTTGACCGATCGGAGATTGAAAGTGCTCAAAGGTTTCATGTTTAAATGATCGCTTGGGTATGAGAAAGCTTTCCGCAAGACGGCTGCCGGAGGTGATGAGAAGTAATCAAAAATCCATGAATAAGGCTATGTATTGATACATCATCCGCATATTTTTGCAGATTTAGACTCGAGTGATTATTTCTTATTTCAAAACCTGAATAAATGACTCAGGGATTTGAAAAAATATAAATGTTGATGCCCTTGGCAAATTTTATTTTTTGGAAGGCATAAAAAATCTTATTAAACCTTGGACAAAGTGTATAGAGTTCAAAGGAGTCACTTATTGACTCGCCCTCATACCATGAATATGTTCTATCTTTAGGTCTCATAAATTATCTTGTTTAAGAGGTCCTATTTGCCGAACCCGATATCATTGTAGACTTTTGAAACCATTGCGTCCGTCTTAGACCTATGAATTTCACCTAATGTTTGTTTTTGGAAATTTTAATATAGTGGACTAAGGCATTTGTAGTTCAGGATGACGCTTAATATGGGTCAGACGCATCATAATTAAACAAGTAAGAAAGTATAGTCGGGCGAGGCCGACCATATGATACCCTACACCAGTTATGAATATTAAATGTGATTTATTTTTCATAATATCGCATTTATCTTCAATATTCCCTTGTTCCGATACATTTAAGCAATTTATGGATGAAAAACTAATTTTCTGAAAGAGGCTTTATATGGGGGCTAGGGGCAAATATGGACCAAGCCCGATAAAATTTTGTGAATATATTTATATTTACATAATATTTTATTGTGATGAATTTCATCGCGATATTTGTGTTTATAAGTTAATTTGGGACATTCAAGTAATTTTCTGAAGGGGACTTTGTATGGGAGCTAGGGTCAAATGGGGCCCGATCTTTATGAAATTTGTCAGGGTCATCAAGAATTCTATAAAACTTAGTTGTGCCGTATTTTATCGATATATCTGTATATTTAACATAATTATGAGCTCAGAAGCCCTTTTCGGGGGGTTCTGTTCTATGGGGGCTAGGTGAAATAATGGACCGATTTTAACCATTTTCAATAGGCTTCGTCCTTGGGTCAAATAAAACGTGCGTGCCAAATTTCATCCAATTATCTTGAAAATTGCGATCTGTACCTTGCGCACAAGGTTTACATGGACAGCCAGCCAGCCAGACGGACGGACGGACATAGCTTAATCGACTCAGAAAACGATTCTAAGCCGATTGGTATACTTTAAGGTGGGTCTAGGACGAATATTTTTGTATGTTACAAACATCAGCACAAATCCAATATACCCTCCCCACTAAAGTGGTGTAGGGTATACAAATTTTGTATATGTTTAATTCTAATGTATTATGTTAAGAAAGTTCTTGGAGATTTTCGATATATTGACATTTTCGTATAAATATTTATTAACAGGCTGCTCCGCTAGGCTAGTTGGTAGTATACTAGTCTATCAGTTTGGAGGTCATGGGTTCGATTCACAATCAGATCTGTTTCACTGCTCCGTGGTACTGTCATCATCACCCTGAGCAGAAGATTAAGTCAGAGTATAATTAATTCTTTAAAATTTCTCTCATTTAGTATTTAAGTTTTTATTCTTCAGTTGAGTTTATATGAATTTTTATTTAATATAAAAATTCCTCACATTTGACTGGTATTTAATTTTATATGTATTTTACATAATAACATATAATTAAATTGTCATCGCCACATATTTGTTATTAAATTAATGTAAATATTCTTAATAAATTACAAAATAAATGCTAATCGCTGTCATTAAAGTCTACAATTTGCAACTTTCTTTACAGATACTCAAAGACTAAAATACAGACACATTAAATTATAAAATAGTCATTGTAAATCAATTAATTTTAATTACAGAATTAATGTTAAACAACTACAGCATACATTTAAACAAACACATTCACTGCATAGTTGTAAGCATTCCTTTTGTAAATGAATTCAAAAATTCACACTTGTTTAATACCCAGCAAACACATGCTGATTTTTTAACAAATCTTATTACTGCTTACCAGTTAGCTTACAAAAGTAATGACTTCTGTTCATGATGCTTTATAAGGTATGGTTCTCTTTTAAAATTTTATTTATTTTTTTGCCCACTTAACTTAAACAATTTTTTTGCTGGGTTATTTGTGAATGATTACAATGCTTCAAAAGTGAAATTTATAGGCTTTCATGCCATTGAACTTGAACTCTAAAATGATTGATACTAAAATGAGAACATTAAATTGATTTGCCATTATTATTTATTGCATCAGTATGTTTTTGAATACAAAAAATTACCACAATTTCCTTATATTTAAAAAATTTGTTCGCCTTTTTTGTATTTATTAAAAGTGACTTATTATGAAAATATAAAATGAAAATCATACTAATGTTTTTCTTACAGATTATTAATCATTTTTATGCCTTAAAACCCCCCTTGAAATGAGTGATTTTTTTGTAGCGTTAAATTGCATTCGCTTTATATTTTATAAAATTCAATAGTATAAATACTAAAATGTAAAAAAACATTAATTACTTAATTAATGCTTTATGCAATAAATTTCAATGGAATTTTTACGAATTTCTTTGAAAGATTTTGAAATAATGATAGAATATACAAATAAGTGTTTTTAATTGATTATTTTCATTTAAGATTTTCAAGATCTGATAATGTTTGAAAAGTTGTAATAATTTGTTTATGTTTCAGATTGTTGATAATTTAATATTTAGGTTTTTGTTTTGTTTTGCGAGACCACCTTGTAAATAATGTCTTTAAATGGTTTTAATGGAAGATAAAATCGTTAATTGTACATAAATATATAAATTGAATGAGTTGCAAAGGGTAATTTCATAATACACACATACATACAAATGTATGTATAAAGAAAAAGAATCGATAGTGATTAGTACAAAAGTGTATAAGTCGCTAAAATTTCCGATTTTTCATATAAATCAAGCAACTTTTCTTAAAAAAATATATTTTATAAGTTATCGCCCAAAACTACGAGTAATAGAAATCAAGTTTTTATCGTAAATGTAAATGATCAAGATCGGCATCCATTTCTAAATGGAAGACCAATGAATACGAAAATGAGTTTTTTCAAAAATGTGAATGATATCAAATCAAGTTAGTTAGTTAGTTAGTTAGTTAGTTAGTGTAGTAGTTAGTTAGTTAGTTAGTAGTTAGTTAGTTAGTTAGTTAGTTAGTTAGTTAGTTAGTTAGTTAGTTAGTTAGTTAGTTAGTTAGTTAGTTAGTTAGTTAGTTAGTTAGTAGTTAGTTAGTTAGTTAGTTAGTTAGTTAGTTAGTTAGTTAGGTTAGTTAGTTAGTTAGTTAGTTAGTTAGTTAGTTAGTTAGTTAGTTAGTTAGTTAGTTAGTTAGTAGTTAGTTAGTTAGTTAGTTAGTTAGTTAGTTAGTTAGTTAGTTAGTTAGTTAGTTAGTTAGTTAGTTAGTTAGTTAGTTAGTTAGTTAGTTAGTTAGTTAGTTAGTTAGTTAGTAGTTAGTTAGTTAGTTAGTTAGTTAGTTAGTTAGTTAGTTAGTTAGTTAGTTAGTTAGTTAGTTAGTTAGTAGTTAGTTAGTTAGTTAGTTAGTTAGTTAGTTAGTTAGTTAGTTAGTTAGTTAGTTAGTTAGTAGTTAGTTAGTTAGTTAGTTAGTTAGTAGTTAGTTAGTTAGTTAGTTAGTTAGTTAGTTAGTTAGTTAGTTAGTTAGTTAGTTAGTAGTTAGTTAGTTAGTTAGTTAGTTAGTTAGTTAGTTAGTTAGTTAGTTAGTTAGTGTTAGTTAGTTAGTTAGTTAGTTAGTTAGTTAGTTAGTAGAGTAGTTAGTTAG